CCGAGGAGCGCGGAAAGGCTGTAAGTGCCGCCCGGGGGGGGGAAGGGGGGGCGGCGGAGGGGACGTGCCTCGGGTGCCCTCCGCGGGCTCGCCGCCGCTCTGGCGGGTCCGGAGGGCCACCGCGGGGAAGGGAGCCGGGGCGGGGCGGAGAGTTCCCGGCGTCTCGCTCGTTTCGGGACTTCCCCTCGGAGCGGCCGCCACACCCCCTTCCCACAATGGAGTACGGCCGCGCCAAGGCTTTAGGATGCCCCGCTCCGGGACGCGCTCGGATGGTCCGAGATGGCGGGGAGGCGGGGATTCCGTTGGGAAAGTCGGGACGTAGGAAAAGGAGTTGGGTCTGGGGGACGCCGCCGCAGCCACAGCCGGAGAGACCCTCCGGGGCTTCGGGAACAATCCCTCGATTGCCTTTGTTTAGGTAGTCGCCGCGCGCTCCCGTGCGACGGTGCCCCCTCCCGAACCAGTGTCTTTCTCTGTGTGTATAAAACAACTCCGGGAGCCTCCCCTCCCTTCCTACACGTGCACCCCGGCCTGGGGGGGGGCGGGGCGCGGCAAGGCGGGCGAGAAGCAGGGACGCCTGTTGGGCGCGATCCGGCGGTGGCGCTTCCTTCCCGCAAGGGGAGCGCAAGACCGCGCGGGGACCCCGGCCGGGCCAACTTTCCGGCGCACCGCGCTCTTCGGCCGGAGTCCAAAAAAGGGGGGCGAGCTCGTTCCTCTCTCTGTGTGCCCGCCTCGCGCGTTCACGCGGCGGCGCGGGGGGGGAATCTTCTGTGGGTTGGCTGGGGCTCTTTATTTCCTCATATATTTCGCTTCACCTCTCTCTCTCTCTGTCTCTCTGTTGTGTCCCTCCGCTGTAGGGCTTCCTGGAGAAACTCTTCTCTGGAGTTGCGCTGCTTTCTGCCTTTTTGCGGGGTGTGCCTGGGGAAATGGGAGTAGATGGAGGGGTGAAAAGGGGAGGAGAGAGATCGACTGCGTTGGTCTTGCTTGTTAGCTGGATACTATCATGATATGCCTGGGTCTCATCCGTTAAGGTCCTTTCTAGCAAGGTAGCCGCCCCCCTCGCCACTACTTCTGTGTCTCCTATGAGAGGGGGGGGGCTTGCTCCAGGGCGCTCTGTGGTCGGTGTGCCGCGGTGTCTATTATTTAGTGGTGCGCCGAGGAACTCGCGCCGGTCTGGTCTGGGAAGCCTTGTGTGTCCCTGCCTCTTCTCCAGTCCCAATGGGACGCCTGCCTTTGCTCAAGTCTGCAGCAGTGGCGGTATATTCTCTCCACACAGCGCTGTTGGTCCCCTCTCCCTCCCTTCAGGAATTTAATGAGGAGTGGAGAAAGGAGGAGGATCCATTTGAGGAGGTACCTCATTTTCTGGATCAAGCTTTCCCACCCAGGCAATAGCAATACCCTGGAGCAATAGCAAAATGTGAGGCAAATAAAGGGGAGATCAAGCAGA